CCCATCTTTTGCGGAGCTGGTTGGAGCCCTAGGGTCAGAAACCACTGTAAATGTGTGGCTTTCTTCGTGGCACCGCGCCAGGCACTGTGGCTCCTTCACCATGCAGCGGCGCTACGCATGCGCAACCGCGAAGCGGGCCATCGTGAGCAGCTCGGGCAGCGGTAAGCCGTGGGGCATGCTTAACACTGGCTTGATACGGAAGGTTGAAGAATCCCATCACTTCCAATGAAGTCCTGCTTGTGTTAACTGAGCCATTAAGCCATTGGGTCCATTCTGAAGTGAATGTAAGGCTTTGGTCGCATCTCCTCACAGTGCATTGTTCCATCCGACAAGTTTCGGTCTATGGGGGTACTTGGAGCCCTCCGTCAAAAGATCAGAGATCATGTTGAGGCCCTCTCCGTGGATTCCATCTTGTGTGGCCTGGATCATAGATAGCCTTTTACTATCCTTTTACTATATATTGGTTGGTTTGTAAATAATTCGAGGGGGTACCCCCAAGTGAGCAACCGATAGGCAAATAGATGATAATAGATGTAAATGGTACTTGGCACTGACCTTCCACATCATTGGCCTCAATCTGCACAGGCCCCGCGAAGTATTCCCCGTCCATGAGGGCGACAGCCAAGCGGCAGCCAGTCACTTGGAGACGGTTTCCGGGCCTGGCGGATGGCGCGATGTCACAGCCCTTACCTGGGCTGTTGTAAAATTTGTGTGTACGGTAAAGGTGAACATATGTGAACCTATCCTCACCCTACCCCAGAGATGACCTTTTTAACACTCCAAAAGGTGTTGTTGCGCTTTAACGGTCCACACCCTCATCCCCTTAACTGCAGAAGGTGTTTGGAAAGTATGTCCCACCCCTCTAGGTCTTTGGACCCTCACTTCACCTAGACACATGTGTCGAACATATCACCTTCACAGATGATGGCAGTGGATCCATAGGGAGGGTATTTGTATGCTGACCAAATCGATCGAAGGAAGAACGATCATTCCCACACCTCGCTGCTTCGCTGCGAAGCGAGGCTTGGAACTTCACGCGGCCCAAAAGCGCGCGCCAGCCGACCGTCCGCCGCTGGGTACGGAACCGGGCCGTGGTGTTCACGTGCCGGCGGTTCGGGTGGCCGTGGATTAAACATCCATGGAGATGTAGGGCATGTAGGACCCTATAAAAAGGTCCAGGTCGACTTTTTTGGGGGGCAACGGCAACACCTGAAGTGTTTTTAGGACGTGTCCGAGCTCGGATCACCTAAAGTTGTCATGTGTTTTTGGAATGATCTCGGACTTCCGGCGTAACGGTTTTTCCCCTCAGAAGCTTGGAATGGATCCTGCAGGCACTGAAGAAGCACACATGCTCGCCCTTCGCAGTGGATGTGTAAACGGTGTCTTTTTGGTTCGGGAACCAAGAAGGGTCAGTATACGGAGAACTGGAATTCATGGATCGAGTTTCATTTAGCACTGCTTTTTGATTTGATCATTATGATCTAATTGTTTGACCAGCACGCTCTTTGATGTGCCCCCTTTGTGCCATCATCGTCATGTGTTCGTGTTCATATAGGTTCTCACCAGTGGGCCATGAGGCGGAAGGGCTACCCTCTTAGAGACGAGGCAAGGCCCTCAAACCCCCAGCAAAACTCAAGAAATCCGTTGCTATCCTCCTTGATGAAGGTGAAGTGTTCGACACTTTTGCCATCTTTTGTCTAGAAGTGAGGGTCCAAAAAAGTCCAAAGACCTAGAGTCTCTATAGAGGAGCCCTTTTGGAGAGTGGGACGACGTATCTAAACACCTTCTTAGGAGGTACTTGGATCCCTATGGCCTTCACCGCGCGCCATGTGAGCACGTAACTAACTATGTGTAAGTATCCTTTGTCCACATGGTCGTGTTCTTCTTTGGCGGGGGGTAGCACCCAGCTCTAGGCAGTCACCTTTGTAGCACCCATGCAGAAGGGGGTGGTGAATGGACATCTGTCATTTTTTTATCACCTTTGAAAACCTTCCTTATTATTAAATTACCACGGGTTGAGCATATCCATGAGCTCTTAACCTTCATGGGCACCAGGGCACCCTATATGAATTCTATAGAATTGTGTGGTTTTGACACATCCCAAGCACTCCCCTGTATACCATATATGCCTGTGGCCTATGACCCCCCAACCCCCACCACCCCAAGTCTTCTTGGCCGAACTCGGCCTATATCAGCTCCGTCTTCCTCCCCGTCACCTCTCCTCGACGGCACCTCAGGCGTCACGGTGGCCGGCCTCTCGGAGCACGTCACGGACCGCGCGCTGAAGCGCCTCTTCGAGCCCTATGGGCGCGTGCTCTGCGCCGGGGCGCAGCGCGTCGGTGCCGCCAGTGCCTCGAAGGGAGGGGAGGGGAGGGGAGGGGAGGGGAGGGGGGAGCGGAACGGGAGGAGCGGACGTGTGAGAGGCTTAAACAAATTGACACCTTTCAAGAGTCTGTCGCCAGATATTTCAACGAAACTGCATTGCTATATGGAATCTATTTGGATTATTTATATGGCTATATAGCGCCCTAGGGATCCAAGTACCTTCTCAGAAGGTGATTGGAGGCACTGTTATGTAGGTTTGAAGGGTCCAAGTACCTTCTGAGAAGGTACTTGGATCCCTAGGGCGTCTTTAGGAAGTGCAGGCGGTGCATTCTGAACCAAATCTTATCTTGGAAAAGTACTGACAGTTTCGCCGATCACAATGCAGTTTCAGTCCTTTGTTTTGTGAATGATGCTGTTTGTTGTGTATTTGCCCTGCTTGTTGCTAGAAGTCTTCGGAACATGGTCATCCCAATAAATAATGCCATCCACGTAAGCAGCATTTGATCATTTCAGGGAGTGTCATACCCAGACACTCCATGTATGGCATATTATTTGCCTACATTGACCCCCCAAACCACCCCAACTGATCGGCATATCTATATGGCACACATGGAGTGTTTTGGATATTGAATAATTTTTCCCAATCAATGCTTCCGGGGTCTGAGGTTCGGAGGCCGGACTTGGGTCAGTTCCAAAGCTTCACGACTTGGGTTGGCTCATGTTGGCTCAGTTGCAATCGCTTTTGTCATCTATCCAAGATTTGAGACTTGTAGCATCTGAAAGAAAAAGCGGTACAAAATGCTTGCATGCCTTGACACAAAAAAAACACCAGATACATCCACGGCGAGACTCCACGTGCATGAAAAACCGTTCTCTCCAGGCGGCCGTTGTTGTGGCACGGGCTTCGTGAAGTACGGAAGCCTGGAGGAGGCCACCAAGGCCGGCTTCCGTGCGGTGGAAGCGAGAAACGAGCACGGATCGGAGCGAAGGCCATGCCATTCCACATGTTTTTTTGGGGAGGGTTGTTGGAGTTTGTTGGTGAACCAGATTGGGGCATTTCTTCCCATGGAAGCCTGTCCCCTCTACATGTCAACCTGAAGCTTGCCGATTGCAAGCTTGATCCGACGGCGAAGTCGTCTACGGCCTCAGACTGGGCAGAACTTGCAGCTGACCGCGTCGCTGGTCCCAACGGGGCTGCCCGGCACTCCATGGAGTGAACGTGGACGCCCAGCTCACGGCAGCAAGCTGCTCAAAGCAGAGCTGTGAAAAGATTTAGGGCTTGACACTCGCAAGAGATGGCAAGCTGAGGCAGAAATTTGAAGAAGACAGTCAGAGGTTTAGTACCCAAACACTGCATGTGCTGGATATGATTGTATATGCATGCATGGCATATGTGCCTACATTGGGGTTGAAACGGGTTCAATGTAGGCATATTATAAGTTTTCTTGGAGCGTTTGGGGAAACCCTGGCCTGGGTTTGGCCGGGCCCTGCAATAACGTCTTGCAAAGATGAGCCATCATGAGTCATGAGCACCGCTAGGCCCCACTAGATATGTGATTGTGCCATGCTTGGGTGCGCAATCACGAGTTCTCTAGCTATGGAAACTCGATCGGCTATCCCTTCCGGTCCGGTGTGACCAAGTAGATCCTTGTCCTGAAAAGCTCATTGAGTATGGCTTTAGCACAAATGAGCTCAATGACTTGTAGGATATTGTAGGATATAATGAATATATATATATATATAGCATTACTTCTGTCACTCATGGCCCCTTGAAAGCATGAGGTGGGCGCATGTTTCAGGGCGGAAGTGAGCCAAAATGAGCCAACTTGTTGCAGGCAGTGGCTCAGATGCACCGGCGTGCCGCTGGGCGAGCACTGAAGTTCGATGCGCGAGAATTGGAGACGTGGGCTTTGCGTCGTGGAAGAAAATGGCTTTGCCCAAACACTCCGTGCGAATAGGCTAAATACAATGACCCTATCTATTTTATAAATATAATGGAGAGACCCTATAAGATTACATCGACCCTAGACTCTGGACCAATCAAAAAGGATGCGTCCTCAACGCCGTCCTCACCGTTGACCTCGCTTCCGTCTTCCTCTGTCACCTCGCGGCTTCTGAACCTCGCCGGGGCGCTTTCGGATCCTCAGGTGCTGAACGATCAGATCCTTCACATCGACAGTTCCGCGGCCCCAAGTGCTCGGCGGTTCGTCGGACTGGGACGACGGAGAGACCTGCAGGGAGTGAGGAGAACCACCCGCCGGCGCTTCGGCGATCGCTTCGGTCGCGGTTCGGTTCGGGGGGACGACTTGGAGGACGAGCAGAGGAGGAGAGGAGCAGCTTGAAGTTTGGAGGATCGGTATGGCAGGTGTGACAGTGATATCCATCCATATCCATCCCAACCTGTTCCAGTCTGACCCAGGTCCGGGTTCCTGGTCCTGAAAACATGAAGGAGTGGTCTCAACGGAGCTGCTTTTCAGCGCCGCCTGGGTTTGGGGAAGATGGCTGAGGGGCTTGGACCAGGCCAGGCTGGGTGTTTAGCAAGCTAAAGGTCAACGTGACCCCGCCATTGGCCTACGGGATGTGCCGGATGTTGGAACACCAGATGTAGCTGCTTCAGAGGTAGGCGGATTTCGCTTCACCCGGTATATAGTATAGTTATAGCCACAAAGCCTCAGCTCGAAACCCCCACAAGTGCAAGTCAAACTCCAACTAGGATGCTTTCTTCCGTAGGATCTGTTTTTCGGCTCAGATCCGATCTCCGATGCAGTGAAAGTCGAAGTCGACACTATATATTTTTCTAAATGGGCTGTGGAGCCTCCTCCTCCGCCCGAGCAGCGCACTGCCGCCCCGCAGCACCGTGTGACGCCCTGCAGCGGTGCCGGCAGAGGGCACGCGTGGCGCCAGCACAGGATCTTCAGAAAATGGTGGACGGTGGCTTGGAAGGAGTTAAGCCGCTGGGCCTTTGGGTTCCAGTGCCCAGGCGGTGCTTGCAGCAACTGGTTTTGGAAAGCCCAGGCGGTGCTGGGGATTCCTTGGAGGCTGATGACACATTGCCTTCTGAGAGACGATGCACTACTTGTATAGTATTGTATAGTGTTAAAGTATATTGGAGTCAACTTTCCAGAGTATATATAGATCTATTTGTCTGTACATGGCTGTACTGTTTTTGTTTCTGCCTGCGGCATTCGTAGATGCTTCACTGTTGGGAGTCAGACTCAGCCATTCAAGTCCTAGACTTATGGCCTTTACTCAATGGGATCAAAGACTTTGGCATTCCCCTCTCATTCTCAGCAGGTGAATTTGTGTTGTTGTGTTTTTTCACCACTGGATCAGGCCTGTTTTCAAAAACCAGTTTCACCTGGGATTGGTTGAAGCAAAATGATCCCTTGCGACTGACCACGTCCCACAACCCCTTTCTTGACTGAAGTATTGAACATCATGAACCTATATATATATATATATTTGACCTTTATTTTCGATAAAAAACAATGCTTTGGCTCTAAAACAGGGATCACTCAGGTTCTAGGTATGTGTCTATGGGGGAAAGACTAGGCATTGAATTGTAGACAGCTGGCTTTTCTGGGGACATTTCTGCAGCTGATGCTGTTCCTTCAACTGATGACAACTTATTTTGCAATGAACCATCAATGCCTCCCTTAGGTCTACCTTCCACAGATGACCAAAAGCCAATGTCCTTTAATTCCCACCTTTCCTACATGCCTTTCAATAGCTGTTTGGACTATGTATACCCAATGGACATCAAGGGACTGTGCCCAGTATTCGACACCCACCGATGGTCCAACTGGTGCCCAGCACCCATCGCGCCGCGCAATCACCGAGTCCACCAGTTGGAATTGATTCGCTCGAGCATCAGCAAGCCCAGCACACGAAGCTCCGAACGCAGTTCGAGCAAGTGCAGCCTGGTTGATGACGTTAATGGCGGATGTTGTTTTGGATTTATAGTCCATGACCTGGCGAATACCCACCGCGCAGATTATCCTATCCCTGAGAATTGACCCGTGGAAGATGACCATGTCTTCCGTTTCGACCAACCCAGTGGTTTTTCGGGGGGGTCATGTGGTCCGAACAGCAAGGAACCATCCTTATATAATCTCTTCTACTTGGGGCTAGCTATTCACTGGAAACCCTTGGGGGTCCGGTACTTGGGTGAACTCCCCAGGCAGGGCTTCCGACGAGCCGGAGCTCCCCAAGCCTAGCGCCTCGGACGGAGCAATGTGAAGGATGAACGCCAAAACCATGGCAGGTTGAGATCCTTTGGTGGTTTTGTTTGGAGGAAGGTCAACTTAGGTCAGGGTAGGATCTATAACTCTTTTTGGGGGGGGTTGAATTGAATTGCGTGAATGTATTGATTTACTATGTCATACTTCATATGCAAAGAGCCAGTGCGTTTGTTTTTTGTTGCTTGGCGGCCAAGATTTCAGCTGCGTGATCGGAAGCTCGGGGGATGGGTGATGGGTGTGCCAAGCTATGACGCCCAAGCTATGCTGAGGGACTCACCAGACAACAATGGTTCTAAAAAGTTAAGGAACCTAATATAGTAATAGCGATGGCTTCCAACCTACTAGCGATGGCCTCCAACCTACAGATCCGGGTTGAACACCTTGAGAAATTCCTTCAGATCCGCCGGAGGACTGGGTCCTTCGTCCAACCGCTCGAAGTCGACTGCTTCCTAGTCGTACTAGTCGGTCAGCTCGCCTGCTGTCGGGCGCACAAGAAACAGCATGGGGTGCTTGACAGCCATTCTTCGGTGTCAACGGATGACATTGCTGCGGAAGGCTCAATTTGATACCAGGACCTTCCCTGCCAGGTCTCCGAAATGGAGGGTTGGGCAGGGCCCGAAGACAGGTTTCAATGGGTGACCTGGCAAGGAGGGGCTGGTATAGGATCTAATGTCAACGTCGTATTAATCAACGGGCCCCCCCCCCCCCTAGAAGGTCAACAAGGTCTGAGATTGGAGGTTTTGGAGATCACATCCCCCTAATAGTGGGGATGACCTGATGATGAAAGGGAATTAGTATTTGGAAGAATTGGAATGAAAGGGAATTAGTATTTGGAAGAATTGGAATGAAAGGGAATTAGAATTTGGAAGAATTGGAATGAAAGGGAATTAGTATTTGGAAGAATTGGAATGAAAGGGAATTAGTATTTGGAAGAATTGGAATGAAAGGGAATTAGCATTTGGAAGAATTGAAATGAAAGGGAATTAGGATTTGGAAGAATTGGAATGAAAGGGAATTAGTATTTGGAAGAATTGGAATGAAAGGGGAATTAGTATTTGGAAGAGCTGGGATGGAATGATGAGATCCATGAGAGCCCAAATACTAATTCCCTTTCATCATGAGGTCCATGAGAGCTCATCATGGATGGGGTTGACTAATACGGGGGGGTACCCCACTATTAGAGGGGGGTAGGTGCGAAGATGCAACACCTAAAACTAGATGGATCTTGTGTAGAATGTCCAACTCCAAGAGACTGAAAACTTTGGTACACTTCTCGACTTGAAATCCCGACGCGCTTCTTTTCCGCTGCTCCCACGACTCTTCGAGTTACGCGGCTTGAGCCAAGATTCGGGCAATCTTGGCGTGTTCGCTCACATGGATAAAGGTGTTCTTGACTGAAGTCAAGAGTGGCCAAAAACATGAACACTATCGTTCAAGTGGGCCTTTGGGATCTTCGTGCTGGCTCACAAGGAACTTCAAGAAGTGACTTTTCAGACCCCCTCACAGCACGACGATCACTAGCTGGAACTCACCAGCATTCGCTTCAGCCACTGTAAACAACTGCCCTTTCAAAGCCTTGCCAGAGACTTTTGCAGCTTGGTCTGCTAAGCCTTCGATGGCTGCCATGCGGACATAGAGAGGTGGAATAGGATCATTAACACGCTCGCTCGGGTTCACGAGCACTTGCTGATGCACCGCGCATTGAAGCTGATTCCAAATTAAACACTGCATTCAAGCTGATTCCAAATTAGACGCTGCACTCAAGCTGATTCCAAATTAGACGCTGCACCCAAGCTGATTCCAAATTAAACGCTGCACTCTCATTCACTGAATTGTAGCCTCCTCTGCTTTGTAGCTTTCAAGCTCCAACCGAGAAAAGGCTGCCGAAAGTCGCTGATGACTCGAAAACTGAGCAAAAATTCAAAGACTACTTAGGTTTTGGCTTTTCTTTTGCAAAAGGTTCTCTCACAAAAAAATCTCTTGGTGCGCGAAAAATCCCTTAGGGCTTCCTGGAAAATCTCAAAAGAAGTCAAGGATGCTCTGAAGCACTGCACGGCTCATGTTTGTCGGATACAAACCCTCACTGTGAAGGTTTCGAGACCTCAAAGGAACATGATCACGCTGGCACTTGCATCGAAAACACTGGATCGGATGGGATGACTGCACACGATATGTATGCTTTGCATTATTCTGCTTTGCGGACATGAAATGACATCGGTCAATGAAAACCTTGTATGGACACAACTCTGTGATGAGTGTTTCCACGTTCTCACTCTTCCAATACCGACAAGCCCGCGACAACTCAACACATGCGACATCACACTTTGCAAGGATTCCACGTCCCTGCTCCAGGAGAGCTACAAACTCATCCCAGTACCGCACGAACCTTGGAACGATGTCTTCCTGCTTCAAAAACTGACATGGAGATCCCCCTGTGCAAGGTGGACTGAACCACCCAATGATGAGCAAGCTAGGTATTTCATTTCGAATCCGCTCTAGAAGACCAAGAAGTTCAAAAGCAATTTCTTCCAATGGATTCCTCTTTGTGGACTGGAAAACGAAGATTCTCATGCCCTTGATTGTCTTTTCATGGACAGGTTTGAAACCCTCTTGCGTGCACAAATCCAAAACTAGGACATGGAAATCCCCTTCAACAAGCCGCTCGAATACCGAACACACTTCAAGACACACGTCCCCTGGTGAACTCTGTTCTGGCTGGGAATGAACAGAGTGAACAAAGGTCGGCTCTTGGCGAACAATCGGTCGAACGGACAAAACCTTGTTTCCGACCCCTTTCATTTCCCATTGCCATGTCTCTGGGAGAGTGGCCTCAGTGAACCCCATCATTTCCCGAAACTTCTCAGTCTTTACCTGGTCCAAAATCTTCGTCAAAAGATCTGCAACCATTTCATGCGTTGAAACCCAACTAGGATCAATCACTCCTGCTTGAAAAAGCTTCTGCAAAAATGCCACTGCTATGTTCATATGACGAACCTTTCGGGTCAGGCCGTCACCATTTACTACTGCCAAAGCGGACGACGAATCGGTTCCGAGGCTAAACAGAAGAACTCGTGGCAGTTCCTCAATGTTGCTTTGCAAAAACTCTTCACATGTGATGTTCGAAGGGATGAGGTCACCGACCAAAAACTGAAGCAACCGGGTGATTCCAAGTGTATCTTGGGATGCCTGGGCAAGGGAAATGAGCTCTGCTTCACATGAGGAAAGGGAGGACGACTGCTGCTGCCTCGACACTGCCTTAAGCAGGTTTCCTTTCCAAAAAACCACATAACCTGACACACTTCGGTGTCCCCAAGAGGCATCTGCAAACACACGGATTGCTGGGTCTTCATCTTTCCACTCATACTTTTGCCACAAATGTAAACAACCTTTCACGAATCTCAAGACTTTCTTGAGAGCTTTCTCGTGGCACTGTTGTGGGTGAGCTTGTCCCTGCGCCAACAATGCTGAAAAACGGAGGAGGTCACACCGTGTTTGACAGTACCATGCCAAACGTCCAAGCTCTGATCGAAAAATACTCGCCTTTTCATCATCCAACGCTGGTGAATCTTTCTCACTTTCCAAATCAATGTTCGGCGGAGTCGCTGTCGGTTTGAGATCTTTGACCAATTCGTGCAAATAACTCACGGGAATGCGAACGAAAAGAGAACAACTCGTATCAAAGCGCTCAATCTCTCGTCCCAAAAACATCAACCGCCCGGGTTGATTGGCTGAAATGTGACCGGTGATCTTTACCTTCTCAACTCTGGTTCGCAACATGGACTGCACAAATTCTGCTGCTTTTGGATGTGAACTGACAATGAGGAAGTCATCCACGTAGCAGGCCATCACTAAATCACAGCTGTTTTCACCATCTGTCCAAGTGCCTTTGAACACGCAGGTCTCTGTTTCATGTGGGTAGATGTTATATACTCCTTCCCAACACTGCGGACCAAGCCAATCCAGGCACAGGCTCCGACGCGAAGTCCGTTCAAAGCTCTATTCAGCTTCGCAAAGATTGGTTGGTGTCCCGTCGCAGACCAGGACAGATCACCTGGGAGGCGGATGACATACGTTTGTCCCTCAGGGATGGGTGAATGCAAAAAGGCTGTCGAAACATCTATGGTGGAGATGTTCATGCCTGGTTGGGATCCTAGAGAGATAATGGCGCGAATGCTTTCAGCCGATGGTGTTCCACTGGACAGACCCAAGTGGGCTGCTGAACCCCATGCAACCTCCTGCACGACCATTCTCATGCGAACACCCTCAACTAGTCTGGATGAAACATTTTCCGATGATTGAATCATCTTGGGATTCACTACCCAGCGTGTGTTGATGACTTTAACCCCCTCATGAACACAAATGTCTTTTGCTTGTTTCTCAGTCAACAAATCACCAAAATGGACCCTGTTCAGTGCATTCAGCTCGACGATACGACCTGATTTCGTCAGTTCGATATCGAGCGTATGGCGACAGTCTTCAGACAGGACTTGCAGCGGCAAGGCAAGAAACACTTGATGTCCACACAATTCAAAAGGCTCATAAGTCGTTGTCTCTCCCACACGTGGGAGATAGAGTGGCTTCAAACTCAACTGTTCGCTACATCCCAACAAAGACCTTTCAATCTCTGGTTCGTTTGTCCAAGACTTTGAAGTCAGTTTGGAGGTGTCCATGTCATCTGGGTTGGATTCATCAACCTCCATTTCGGATTCCGGACTGTTGGGTGGCAAGCTTGGTGTGTATTCCATGTCTTCCTCAACACGAGGACGCTTACCCTCAGAATTCATGTCTTCACTGACAGGTGGCACAACCGGTGGTTGCTTAAAGTCGAATCGACGACGTCCTGTTGGATGCTCGGAAAACGGTGGCGCAACAGGAATGCTTGGTTCGGCTTTGTCAATCTCAGCTTGTTGTGATTCAACCCAGGTCTTATACCTACGCTTACATTCAGCATTATGCTGTCTTTTCCCAAAACTTTTCTGGCTACATCCATTGCAGCCTGGGGTTCGACCGTGGACCTTGACCCAATCGGCCGGAGGCCCCGAAGGTCGAATCGGAAGGGGCAGAGGTCGTGCATCTTCCAAACGGACTGCAGGTGGTAGTGGACTGACAGGTGCCTGAGTGAGAGCGGGATTCAGCCGAACATCGAAAACGATCTTGTTCATCACTCGAACGGTTCTTGCGCGAAACTTTCGAAGCTCGAGGTTCCCATTGGGCATACGACAAAAACCATAGACCATTTGGCCTTGTTCACCACAGGTTCCTCCTATGAAACTTGCCACGATCCAACGACTATCGGCTGGCGTTCGAATCGAATCCGGTGCTTCTGCAAAACACAGGGCTCCAAACACAGTACATGGTGGCTTTGACCTTGCGTGGCCACTCAACAATTCATTGGCTGACTTTTCACCCCCGCGAGGTCGGCGAAAATGGTTCTGAGTCCAGGCTAAATAATTGAGGACTTCACCGATTGAATCGGGGTGAACATCAACTCCAACATTTTGCAGCTCTAAGCGCAAAACAGATAGGTGCTCTTTCATAGCTCTTACGGACTGTTCGGCATGACCTACCGACTCGTGATTCTGGGGCGACGCTTTCTCAACTCTGCAGGCCACGGACAACCGAAGAAGCCGTGCAACAGCTTCCTCCGCATCGCTCTTGACCAAAACGGTCATTCCAACCTGAGATGAGAAGCCAACATATTGGAAAAACTGTTGAACAGAAGCACGAGTGATGGCTTCACTTTTGTGGCATTCAACATACGCCACTGCATGGGAGATGGGCTCAACAAGACACAGGACCTTGATTGACCTTCCGGGAAAACAGGTCAGGTAGGCAAAATCAGCGAACACTTCTAACGATGAACCATCTGGGTGCTTCCTCCTATGGTGGTGAACTCCCCGACTTGCCCTGCATGCATCACATTCAGGGTCATACACGGAATGCCCTTCAAGACGGTGCTTGAACAGCTGCCGGTTCAAACGCTCTTGCAGCCGGTCACGTGGGACATCCATGTCGCCATCATCACACTCCAGAGCTGGGCCGGGCACGGGGTGTCCACCGTCGTCTTCGGCGTACGACTTTAAATGTTCGAAAACAAATAGGGGTATCTTGGACCCATCAAACCCAAATGCAGAATCCCTTGGAATGGAATCAATCCATGAAGACACATCGATGACTTTTGGATCGTGCGTTTCTGACAACGATGACACGGCTTCCAAGAAGCCACAACTGATCTGATGCTTCGCCGAATGCTTCAAGCACGACTTGGCTCGATAGCCTTTGAGCGAATCAACTTCCACAGCATCCGGTGGCCCTGCAAGTGGTGGGCTTACCTCGTTCTTCAAACCTTCACCACCTGAAAACTTATGTTTTCTTGATGGGATGCTCGCAGTCAACCACGGAACATTCCCAAACATGTCAACCCCAAACTGAAAATCACCGTACGAGACCCGACAACCCTCGATCTGTCATCTCGCACTTGAAGCCCTGTCTGCAGACCTGAAACATGGATAGTAAATTGTGCTGGACCTCAGAGACCAAGCACCTGAGTTCGAAAGGCCGTTTCGACGCACGTCCATGCGGCCCATCCTGAACCCAAAAATGCGCTTCAACGATCACTTCAGTAGTGACCACCATTTCTTCACCACTTGCTGTGCTGAAGGTCAACGGTTCATCCAACAAACGACGACGCAAGATCTTGTAAAATTGCAAAAAGGATTTGTTGATGACTGATCGACTTGCACCAGAATCCAACAACCAAAACCCTGCATCTACCATGAGATCCTCGACATCAGATGTCGAGCTGGAAAACTGATTGGGCTCTTTTTCTTCTAATCGAAGAGAAGGCTTCAACGGAACATTGCTTCCTGAAGGCACTGCCGGATCAAAAGATACCGCTCTAGCTGCCGCGCTATGAGAGTTAGTCTGCAAACTAGCGGAATGACGATGGTCCAAACCCTCACAAATCGAACTCTGGGGATTCTTGGGCAACCAAACACACAAACGCGACTTGGCATGTCCCTCATCGAGCTCCATCGGATCAATTTCAGACCAAGCCTCATCAAGCTGAGATTCCTGCTCAACATATTCGGCTGCTCGTTTCCCTTTTGGACCCTTGGGTTTACCCTTTTTCCCCTTTCCCTTACGATCTGGAGAGCCTTTGGACGAACTGTCACCCTTTCTGCTATCTTCGGAATGCGTTCGGGACCTCTTACCATCTGACTTTCCATCCTGTTTTCCTTTTCCTTTCTCTTTTCCACCTGAAACATTTGGACCTTTTCCTTTTCCTTTCTGACCATCTGGAAGACGGACTCTGCAATCCCTCGTGATGTGACCTCGTTTGCCACACCGAAAACAAATCACGTCTGACTTATGTCCTTTTCCGGAACCTGCTTGGTATTCATTCAAAGACAAAGGTTCCTTAGACATATCGAAGTGTTGACTGTTCAGGACGGTTTTCTCATAGAAAACACCACAGGCACGCTTCGCTCCGGCATAGGTCTCCGGGGCGTTCAATTGGACATAGAGCTTTGCGTCACCAGTCAAACAACGAATCAACAGTTGGTACAGATCCGAATCTTGTAAACAAATGTCATGGATACCGCTCTTGTCTCCGATGTACGTATCCAGCATCTGGTTGAATCGGAAAACTTCAGCTTCCAACCTGCGAATGTTGTCTTGTAGGTCGCAACTGTCCAAAAAGCGAAATTCTAGAACTAAATTCCTGAAATAGATACACTCACTCCGGGTCTTGAGACCCAACTCCAAGCGAAGGCGGCGAATCAACTCATAACCGTTGGGCTGGCCTGAATGCTCTGCTTCGTACAGCCGAATAAGAATATCCCAACGTGAATTGCCTGATGGAGTTCCTGATTGCTTGATCACATGGAAAAGCCTCTGTGAACGCAAGATCTGATCTTGGCTCATCTCTGAATGCAACAAAGGCCGACGAAAACCTAAAGCTTCTTTGACTTCCTCATGATAATTGGGATCGATCAAACTGAGCCAACTCACTATTTCCTCCAAGTACTTACGAAAACCCAAAACTTCGTGGGGTCTTGTGGTCCATTTGGAAGCATCAATGGTTGGGATGGATGGCATCAACTTGTCACTGAGTGATCGATTCGATGACGTCGACTGCGGCGGAATCGGAGTTTGTTGCGTTCGTTGGTTGTTTCCGGTCGAAGTTGATGCAGCTCCAGCAGTGTTTTGTGAACCTGATGTCGAAAAAGCCTGAGATTGTTGAACAAGGTTCAAAAGAATTTGATTCTGCTGCTGCATGGTGTTCATCATTCCGGCTAACTGGCTCAAAAACGAAGGCAAGTCAACCGCTGGAGGAGGAGCTACAGTCGAACTACTTTGGTCTAACCCTGGAGGTGCACTTGGTGGTGAACTTGGGGCACTTCCACCATCCGGTCTAAACGAAGGCGTTTGTTCCGAGCCCTGTCCACGCCCAGTTGCCTGAGAAGCTTCTTCTGGTGTGATATCGAAAAGATGCTGAGCTTCGGCAACTGACACTCCAGAAAACAAAGAGTAGGTTCCTCCAGAGATTGAGTTCCCAGAGTCATCTCCAGTGGCCATGGCGCAAGACTCAAGAGGTAAAGAAGATCCTAGTCAAGTATCCTAGTTGAAACCTTCCCCAAACCGTAGCGGCTCCGCTACCATGCGAAGATGCAACACCTAAAACTAGATGGATCTTGTGTAGAATGTCCAACTCCAAGAGACTGAAAACTTTGGTACACTTCTCGACTTGAAATCCCGACGCGCTTCTTTTCCGCTGCTCCCACGACTCTTCGAGTTACGCGGCTTGAGCCAAGATTCGGGCAATCTTGGCGTGTTCGCTCACATGGATAAAGGTGTTCTTGACTGAAGTCAAGAGTGGCCAAAAACATGAACACTATCGTTCAAGTGGGCCTTTGGGATCTTCGTGCTGGCTCACAAGGAACTTCAAGAAGTGACTTTTCAGAGTAGGGGGTGTATGGGGGGTACCCTTTCTGAGCTTCTCAAATTGCAGATTTTGATAGAGTTTTAATAAGGGAAAATGAAAGAAGTTTCCTAGAGACTTTTTGGAAATTCTAGGAAAACTGTTTCTTTGGGAGAGCATTGGCAATCAATCAGAAGATCAATTTCACCATGGCAAGACAAGAAAATATTGAAAAGGCAAAAAGAACAAAACTAATTAAACACATATATATATATATTTAATAAAAGTAATTTTTTTTTTCCTGGGGGGACAGGGGGTGGACTAATAGGGGGGGGGTTTCAGCCAAGCAACATTTTTATTAGAGGGTGGTGACTGTGGAAATTCATAGTTCAAATTAGTTTACTATTGGGGCCTGAACGCTGGGTAGACTAATAGGGGGGGTTGGTTAATACCATGTTGACATTACTCTAACCACAGAACAGGTCCAGTCTCACCCACCGGTGACCGACTGTGCTCGGAAGAGATTCCACCCAACTGTCGCTCGCCTGATGTTGCCTGTCGGGAATCCCAGTAAACCAGCACACTCCCTGGAATTAACATGGAAGTGGAGAATGGGCCCGAAAGGAAGACCATGAAATCCACTACAAACAGGTGGTGCCATCCACGTAACCATGTCAGTTCCAGGGAGAGTAACAGTCGGTCAAAGATTATCACTTCCGATAAAGATCCCCAGGACCCTTCGCAGGTTCGGCGGACCCTGGACCCGACCCCGTCGGAAAAAAAAACCAACCGGTGGTGTTCCCTCACCTTGATAAAGAGGGTGGCAGTGGATTCATAAGGACGATTTTTGAGAAAGGCCTGAAATTAATTGGCCCAACCTGCAACCTGTACCCTGTAAACACCGTGCAACACCTGCAATCGTTGGAGGTTCTAAGCAGCCCAGCAGCCGCGGCTTCTCCTCCTTGACACTTTGGCAAGAGTTTATTATCTTGTTTGAGGGGGGTAAGGAGGGTGACAATCCACTCACGGGACTCGTGACATCCACTCAGGGCATGGAAACTCCTGATTCGATCGACTGCGGTTCGGCATGCCGTTTAGGACTCGAGAAGTCGACCTGGACCCAGGCAATGGAAATCACGATGGGTGCGCACTGCACTGCCACCTTCAAACAGAGGGTGTGGATTCGTGGATCATAGATTTACATCCATTGACCGTCATTGACCTCTTCTCAACCACCCCAATGTACGGTTACCAGCACCCTCCAACAGGTGGTTTTTGGACACCTCTTAACCTCTAAGAGGCTATTTATAGACACCTCTTGGAGGGTCCTGGTAAAGGTTGCTTCATGTTGGGGGCACTAACCTGCCGCCCTGAAACCGCGGAACATCCAGGTGCAGCTGGAGAGTGAGAGCTGGAGTTCGAGGGACCCGCTTTTTTCGAAGGGAGTGTTTCTCATCGATGTCTCAGGGGCCCAGTCTCCTGGTCCAGTCTCCAGGTCCGAAACAACCATCTATACCAGCACCTGATGTTGACTCAACAGGTCTCTGAAATGGAGGATTGGGAAGGGCCCGAAGACACGTTCCTAACACGTTTCAAGTGGTGACCTGTTGGCCGTCGGTGCATGATGGACCTCTAAGATAAGGGTCAGTTCGATGGAGCGAGGAATGGAGCTCGTGGATGCTGCTGTGCAAACTCTGGTGGATCCGAGCTCGGGACCGGAACTAAACCCTACCAACAGAGGTTAAGTGACCTGAGCTAGGACCCGTCATCAGGGGTACCGAACTGGGATAGTCTAGTTCGGGTCATTCAACCGTTGTTGGTATACCATTTCTTCTGGGCAGATTCTTGCCAAGCTCCTAAACCTGGAGGGTGGAGGTTTCGAGGCTGAACCAGGTGGGGCGGACAGACGTGCCAGGATGCCACAGATAGCTGTTCATGGCGGAGAGACTGGCGATCCACTGGACTCGATGGACGAGGCCGAGTTGGAACACAAGAGCTCCTTTGCTGCGGATCGAGTCTGAGCGGTTTTCGGCGCGATGTCGATGCTCGGAGAGCTGATGAGAGCTGCGCATTTGGAGCTCGCTCGAGGTAAAGCCGCCCCTCTCCTGCGTGCCTGATCGCCGGATCGCCAGATCGACCAGCCACCGGAGACCGGGAGTTTTGAAGCAAATGTTGTTTCCATCAAGTTCCATCGTTTCTAGGAAGGTTCCTTTCGCTCTTAGGTTGGAGGCCATCCCTATAAGGTTGCTCAAACCAAGCTGAGGAACGATCGCCTCTGCATGCCCTATGCGACACCGGACACTCTGTGACCCAGATGTTCTCTTTCCAAGAATCGCCTGGGGAAATCCCGGGAATTGAAGGCAAGTTTATCTGAGTCACAGAGTGACACCCTGAAAACCACCCAGGAAAGAGAACATGGGTTTTCTGGGTTTGCAGATGAACATGGACCCTGAAAACCACTGGGTGGTAGATGAGAATGCTCTTGCAGGGGCTCCCTTCTTCACGGTCAATGTTCGTCTGGTTATGGGGGGTCATGTTTGTTGACCCGGAACGCGAGTCGTTTCAGAATGTGTTCTACACCTCTTGGTAGGACTGACTGCACATACAGAGGAAGACCACTCACAGAGGACCTGAAGACGGAAGACCACTCTGCCCGACGGGTCCTGACTCAATACAACCTTGCCTGGTCACCTACAGTCGTTTCAGAGGTTCGATGGCACGGACCTCATGATGTCCTGAGAACATGGAGGTTCATCATCTTCATATAAACATATATAAACCATCGACATTTGGGGTCTGCGCCATCTACTCTCAATCCACTATCTATGCTTTTTGTATGATCAGCTTCTGTAAGAAACATGAGGTCAGTTCCTGGCCCGTAGGTCTCTGGGTCGGGATCGTTGAGCGGTGGAGAGTCAGTGGACTCCAGCAGAGGCACCCGCAGCCGGTGCCTGCAGCGGCGACTTAAAAGGAAACTACTTGGGGAATGAACGATTGGGTAGCGCGGCAACACGTAGCATTTGGCTGGGGGGGCACTGGGGCACTTCTCGAAGTGATCGAACACATCACCATCCATCCAGCCACTGCAGGCTCCTACCAGACCTACACTTGGCCTTCACCACCGAACGGCGTGGAGAACGTGTCCTTCCCGCCAAACCGCCAGACCCACGAGCTCTACCTGGAGCGAAGGGTCGCGGTCACATCGCCCGAGATGTCCTTTGTGAAATGCCGCAGGTCATCAAAGTCAACTCCATGAGACTGGCATATTTACGTACATTGGGGGCTAGTTGATTTGCATGTTTCCCGTGTCAATATGCCAGTCCCTGTTTTGAGTGTTTGGGAAATTCAGGCAGAGAAATTTCAATCATGTCGACTGAACATGAGTTGGATGTCCGGCAGTTGTATACGCACTGAGAAGCGGAAGGTGGAAAATGGACGAAAATGGTGCTTAAGACTTGAGTTCCTTTTACCAAGCTATACAAACCAGCAGTCACAAAGGGGTGCCCACTGGAGAATAGGGGTGCCCAGCTACTGTACTCAACTCACTTAGGGACTCCCAAAACCACCCAATTGTGACTGCTGTAGAGTTGTTTTCATGTCCTTGTTGTTTTCTAAATACCATTTCACCTTCCCCCCGCAGCTGTTCAGTCCAGCCGGCGACTGGTGTTCGGCCCGGCCGTGGCACTGCACGGCGTTCTGAACTGCGTGAGGAGAACTTGGATGAGTATTTGCAGAAGGTGCGGCGCGAACCGGAGATGATCAAGCAGATGGCGAGTGCCAAGTGGACGGCCGTCAAGATGCGACGCTCGGGGCGTGGTTTCGTTGTTCGTTGTGGCGTGGGCGCCACGCACTACGCGACGCACCGCGCGCGGGAACACGAGATGTTTGGGTGTGGACTGGTGTAGGGCCGACCTTGGAGGGTTGGAATATAGTAAGATAGTGGTGCACTCACACTCACACTCACTCACACTCACACTCACTCACACTCTCACTCTCTCACTCTCACCCACACTCCCTCACACTCTCACTCTCACCCACACTCACTCACACCACTTTTGCTCACACTCACACTCACACTCACTCACTCACCACCACCGCGTCACCACAATCCCCACCTTCATCACCACCATCACCTCTCTGGACCCCAATGCGTCTAGATCTCTACACTTTCTGCTTATAGACCTCACAGACACACACTGTTTGGGGTCTTTTGCCGGGATTATAGCTGACGCGGCCCACCATCACTGGATCTTCCAAACTACGTAAAATGTTTGCCGAAACCAGCCAAAAGGCATACGACACTCCATGTACTGAGGAGGCCCCACCTAGAGTGTCCAGTTTTCCTGCGTCAGCAAA